GGTATGGTTGAAAATTTTCCTAAGGCAATGTTTAAAAACCATTACATACGATGCTCTCGCAGAATCTAACCATAGGCCCAAGTGGAGCAGATGGACACAGAAAATGGCTCATAGCACCCAGTCCCCAACCCATCCCATGGTCTCCAGACAGGGGGTGCCTCACCTGTCACCTGACCCCACAGGCCCCCTTACCTCAATCAGAGCCCCTTTCTCCCTGTCCTCAGATCGTTTAGCACTGTCCAGTTCATCATGCATTTCTGAGAGCTGGTCCTGGAGATCCCTGATCTCAGTCTGGTGCTGTTCCCGTTCCATCTTCACCTGGAACAGCCTAGTAGGGAAGGAAGCCCATCAAAGAGACCCTCCTGGGCTCTGCCAGTGTCCATACCGTCTGATTCAGACCTTCAGATGGTCACACAGAGTCCTCTAAAGCCCAAGGAGCCTCCCGTTCTCATTTTGCACTGCCCAGGAATCACCAACCTGAAAAGGCACCTGGTAAGAACTCATGGCTGCAGTCTAATTTGCCCAACAAGCCAGCAAATGAGAACTCAAGCCAATGAAATTGGGAAGGTTATACAGAGACACTTTAGGATACTAAAATGTGGACTCAGAAGATGGGGAAATGACAAAAACCAAATTTGTTGATGTTTTTTCACTAAAGCCACCACACACTCTGCCACCCCCCTAACCTCTGTCACCCCAGTACTCTAGACCAGGGAGCCAGCAAATTATGGCCTATGGGCAAATCTGGCCCACTGCCTGTTTTTGTAAGTACAGTTTTACTAGAACACAGTCATGCTCATTCATTTACATATTGCCTGTGGCCATTTCCACAATATAATTGCAGAGTTAAGTGGTTGCAACAAAGACTATATTGCCTGCAAACCCTAAAATAATCACTATCTGACAGAAATCATTTGCCAATCTCTGCTCTAAACGAAACTCACAACTCTGGTATCTTTTTATTTTTGTAAAGTCTTAACTGTACCCTAAATGTTCTGAACTTTTTTCTTACTAAGTTCTTTTCTGAAATTAACCTCAACAAAAGTTTTAAAAGGAAGAACTCCACCATCAAACCAAATGCTTTTATCACGTAATGTCCTGTTTTTCCTAAATTCCCCTGTAGATTTCACTCCTGCTTAACTTCACCTTTCACTTAAGGCTTCTATTGTGTCCACAGGGTTTCCTAGCACTGTGCATTTTCAGACCTTCATTTTAAATCCTTTGGCCACAGATTTTAATAAAACACAATGGCAGAGCTGCCTTGGACATAATTTTTCTTACCTGCAGGCTCAGAAGAGGTAGATGCACTGGTCACAGAGACCAGCACCATCCAGGATAAAACCCACAAGCAGGGAGATTGTGGAGGCCCCACTACACCTGCCTTTTGGAGGTGAGGTCCAGGCTCCTTGAAATCTCAGTCTTTAGATATCACCACTCGGTGTTCCCTGCTTCCCACTTGCCTGCTATGAGATCCACGTTAAGGGCTGAAACTTTATGAGACATCAGAGTACTTCAAGATGTACAGAGAATTTTAATAATTATTAACCTTCCTGTTTACCAGGCTACCCATGTCACCAGCCTCACAGTTTTACAAGGACAAGAGGGAGGAAAGGAAGGGTCAGCAGCCTCTACAAATATTTGGAAGGCTGGCTACAGACGATGCAAGAACCCAGGAAGGGTGACAGGCTCTTGGTCCCGAACTTACTCCTCCAGGTTTTTCCGGAGCTCCCCTTCGCTTTTTTCCAGTCGTCGTTGCAATGCGGAGTTCTCCTCCACCTGACTGTCGAGTTGGCTTCGGAGATCTCCCAAGTTTGCTCTCATTTTCTCTCTCTCTCCTTTGATGTTCTGTTGATTCTAATATGAATCAGTGGTATTTTAAAGTACCTCCACTGTACACGAATCCCACCGAAGCCTATGTCTAAGGTCTGACGAACTCCATGTCTTTGCACTTACATTATTACTTCTATTTAATCTTTTTTACAAAAAGAAAGTTTCTTATTAAAAAACTTGGAGGCCAACATTGAAAGCATGGTTTGTACACAACATTTTTGGAAAGACATACAAAGTGAATATAACCAAATATGTTAAAATGGCTTCAATTACCAGCATTGACACAAAATTATGAACCTACGTTGTTAAACAACTTGATTAAACTACATAATTAAGGAAAGGAGCTCATAACTAGAAAGAATATTAAATATTTATATTTAATGAATTGTAATACTCTGAAAAGAAAAAACACAAACACAGCTAAACCTCATTCTGCTATTACTATTACTTAGTTCAAATGTTTTATATACATTTAGTTTGTTGGCCTGCCTGAATCTAACAGTGTTTCTTTCACTCTGTCAAAGCAAACAGCCTCTATATGCTTTGCTTAGTTAAAAAATTTTTTTCTTTGGATAACAGCAGCCAAATACACAGCAATTTCCTCAGTGATGAGAGGAATGTTTATTTGGAGGAAAAAATTGGCTTTCACTTCACCTGGGCATCCTAATGAATTTAAAATATTCTTTATCAAACAAGACAGAAATGGAAAAAAATAACACAGAAGGAAAACCAGATACCTTGATTTCCAGTTGAAGTTGTCTCTGAAGTTCAGCCACTTCTATAAAATTGGCTTTCACTTCACCTGGGCATCCTAATGAATTTAAAATATTCTTTATCAAACAAGATAGAAATGGAAAAAAATAACACAGAAGGAAAACCAGATACCTTGATTTCCAGTTGAAGTTGTCTCTGAAGTTCAGCCACTTCTATAGTTAACTTGTTTTTCTGTTCCAATAGATCTTTGACTTCAGATGAGGAATTAGAAGCCTATAATTAATTGCAAAGATATCCTAATTTATCAGCACCACACTCTCCCGAGTAAAGATATCCTAATTTAAATGTTCAGGATGCTTTATTTTAATTCTCTTCCCTCCAAAATATAACCAGGGCACTAACAGATGAAGTACCATACTAAACATCTCAAGACCCAATTCAAATGACAACCCCTAGGGAGAACCTTCCCTGACTTCACAGGCAGAGTTAATCACAGCCAGAGCTGGACCCCTCGGGACTCCAGTGAACTTGATTTTACAGCATTTACCACAGTCACAGGAATCATTTCATCAGCTATCTCAACACTAGTCCAATATGACTAAATTTTGCATAGGTGGTGTATTTGTTGGAAGTACCTATTCTGTAGAATTTTATGAAATATTAGCATATTGAATTTAGGATAAGTAAAACATTAAAAGCTTTTCCATAATAAATTCTAGATTCTGGGTGATGGGAGTGTTCTATATCTTGATCTGAGTGGTATTTGCATGGATGCAAACCTATTAAAAATTCAATGAATAGTTAAGATTTGGACAATTTACTGTATGTAGCATATACTCCAATAAAACAATATAAGAAGTAAATATTTGTTGAAGATTCATCTATCCCCAGGGTCCTTTCTTCATATATTTGTCACAGAGCTTTCATTGCACCGAGGATTACGGCTCCATAACTGCCCATGAGATTTTTATCCCTCATTCTGCACATGCCTGTATGCAATTAGTAAATAAATGTATGTTGGCTAAATTGGCTTTCTTCTTTTAGATGTTACATTTCCATAACGGAGAGAGACATAATGGAGAGGCACCAGATAAAAGAGAGTCTATTTGAAAATATCATCTCTGATCTGAGTATGAATACTAATGGATTTCATTCTTTTTTCTTCCACGGAAATAATAACAGGAAGGTGCTCTCAAAAGGATTTGGCTAACATCCTACAGTAAAGTGGCTAGAAAACTACAAACAGGTGAGGGGAAGGGATAAAAGTAGGAATGAAAGCTAGAGAAGGCAGCATCTTGGCTCTCATGTCCCTGAATCCAGGTGTGAGTTTCGTGTGACAAACTTGAAATGAGCCACTTCCCCACCTCCTGTGAAGGGGAGAGAACCTGAGTCAACAAAAACACAGGACTTCCAATTTCCTCAGGCAAAATGAGAACAATCCAATTTAGAAATCTAAATCCATCCCAGTGAGGGAAATGTACACTGTTCTTTCCCGGACAAGAACTCTCCCCGCTTTGCTGTTTTCTGGTCTCAATCCACAAGGGAGAGGGTTCTCACATTCTCTCCTCGGTCATCATTTAACTGACACCGAAAATGTAAAACTCCAAAACGTTTGCCAGAAAATAATCAGATTCAGAAAACAGGAGACAGAAAAGGGAGTAGAAAAATGTGGGCAACTGAAGAGTCACGGCACTGCGGTCGGAGCCGGAATGTGAGAGCCTCGTTCGTGGCCTCGTCATCTCTCGCTTGGTTTGGCAGCAGCTTCTTAACTGACCTGCCTTCCTCCAATCTTACCTCTCTCCAAAAGCGACAGAAGGAATGAACACTTACAAATATGACGGTATTCATGCCTGTTTAAAATCCATCAACGGTAGCCCATCCCCTGCAGCCTGAAATGGAAACTTCATGTGTGATTTCCCAGGTCCTTCCTATCCGGCTCTTCCTCGCCACATCCTGGCTCTGTGTTCCAGCTACACTAAATTATCTCCAGTTCCCTAAACATGGCAATCCCATGCCTCTCTATATTTGTTCATGCTGTTCCCTCGACCTAAAACACCCTGCCTTTCCTCCTTCTCACAGAGAACTCTATGATCATTTGAGACACCATGAGTGTCATTGTCTCCAGAAGGGCTGCTCCAACTTCCCCAGTTCAAGTGGGGTACCCCTGGTCTGTGACTCACAATGACAACCTTAACATCAAGGTCAAAGACCGTGTTCTCCCTAAGAATACACAGGCCAGGGTCGGCCCGGTGGTGCACTGCTACAGTGCGC